ATAATATTTCACATTAAAGCTAAATATGAAGACATTACTGTGATTATATTATACTTATTTAGAAGACACATTTGACCATACCAAACGGCGCAAATAAAGTCTATTATAATTGGTAGACACGCTTCTCACATTTGAATCACTTATGAATAACGTTCTCAGGAAAATTAATAATACCGGTTTGTGCGGTCAAATCGTATAGGAAGTCCGTATAACACCAAAATAGTTTTTCATCGGTAAGTTTTGTTATCCACTATTAATTTAAGAAAAAACGATTTTTTTATTTATTATTTCATAAGCATCTTGTTATCCGGTGCTGTCAGTTCATAAATAGGGCGATTTCGGGAAACTATGGGATCGTTACAATATGATCTTTCGATTAGAACATTATTATTTTAAAAATTACATTATTTATTTGCTCAGTGAATTATAACTTACCTAAATACCTACACAAATAAATGAAACCCATGACGTCTTTATACTAAATAGTATTTTTGTTTTTGTTTCTTATTATTATACTATTTAATTTTTGGGTTTTAGATTTCCTACAGATTCAGCGACATTATACAGCAGATACTAGAAGTGGGCGATACAAATCGTATCAGATATGAAAACTAGATATTAGTACAATATCCCAATATCGCTTACTGGCTCGTTCAATATCTATGTATTATACAATATCTGATATTTCCGAAATCTGATGTACCGTGCTCGCTCGCTATACCGACACGAATCGCGATACGGCGATATCATACGCGTTTGCCACAATATCTGATTTTTTTAAACAGATTTCGAGAGACAAAGCGCGTGAGATACAAATACTCACTAGTTAGAGCGGGACGGCAAGCAATGCACGATATCAGATATCGAGCGACAAAGCGCGTGAGATATAAATACTTACTAGTTAGAGTGGGACGGCAAGCAATGCACGATATCAGATAACGAGCGACAAAGCGCGTGAGATATGAATACTTACTAGTTAGAGTGGGACGGCAAGCAATGCACGATATCAGATAACGAGCGACAAAGCGCGTGAGATATAAATACTTACTAGTTAGAGTGGGACGGCAAGCAATGCACGATATCAGATAACGAGCGACAAAGCGCGCGTGAGATATGAATACTTACTAGTTAGAGTGGGACGGCAAGCAATGCACGATATCAGATAACGAGCGACAAAGCGCGTGACTTGAGATATAAATACTTACTAGTTAGAGTGGGACGGCAAGCAATGCACGATATCAGATAACGAGCGACAAAGCGCGTGAGATATGAATACTTACTAGTTAGAGTGGGACGGCAAGCAATGCACGATATCAGATAACGAGCGACAAAGCGCGTGAGATATAAATACTTACTAGTTAGAGTGGGACGGCAAGCAATGCACGATATCAGATAACGAGCGACAAAGCGCGTGAGATATAAATACTTACTAGTTAGAGTGGGACGGCAAGCAATGCACGATATCAGATATCGAGCGACAAAGCGCGTGAGATATAAATACTTACTAGTTAGAGTGGGACGGCAAGCAATGCACGATATCAGATTTTTAAACAGATATTATGAATAAGTTAAGTAATTTTGAATCTTAACACCATGCAAATAAGATCCGTTTCATTTAAATACTAATCTTGGTATCAGCGATTACTACAACGATATTATTATATTTTTATTGTTTTGTTTAGCCTTGAGCCGTAACGGGCGACAAAGCGCGCAGTTAAGTAATTTTGAATCTTAACAGCATGGAAAAAAACTCTGTTGCATTTAAATACGAATTACGGTATTAACGATGTCTTTGAAATTTTGTTCAGCCTTGAGCTGGATTGCATTGGTACTTAACACGTAATAGTAAGGGATGCCAACTTACTACTTAAGAATTTTCTGCCTAAATTAAGGAAGAAAAATATACAATGGAAATTTTTTAGGAGGTAAATTTTTTGTGAATATTTTTATTAGCTAAATTTTATTCATATTTTTGGAAAAAAAATAAAAGTACACAAAAAGAAAAATATTATTTAATAGTGCTGTGCTGCTTTGGTGGAAATCAGACCAAGGCATATGTGCCTTGTGTGTATATTTTAAATTCTTCCGCCCTAAGCTATAATACTGAATGTATTATTTCTTACACAAATAATAGAAATATTGCCACTCGATTGCGTGTTCTAAAAATATGTTAAAGTCAATTATTAAGCGGTATATAAGATGTTAAAATAAATCATTTTTATATTACTTCAATTTATATTTTTAATGAAATTTTTAATTTAATAATTTAAAAAAACGCATTTTTAGTAAGACAGGGTTAATTATTAATGATCGTCGAACAAGAGTTTCGACGAATAAAGTCAGAGAGCTTACGTTCCTAAACGTGAATTTGAACCCGGAGGGATATAAATAATTATAAACCCTGACATAATTGTAAATATATAATGTTAAGTTTTAAATATAAGGAAAATTATGTACATAGAATGAATCAACTTTTAAATACGCCTGCACAATTTTATATTTATAATAAGTATGAAATATTGCAGCAAGTCCTAAGCCTGGAAAAAGTATGAAGGGAAGTTTTATTTCATTCATCTTATATCCACTCCCTTAAAGTATACATTTTTTTTTTTTTTTTTTTTTTTTTTTTTTTTTTAGAATTCAATTAATCAACGTGGATAGGGAACCGTAAAATATCTAGATATTAAAATACATAGTTTCGAAATCTGATATTTGAAATCGATATCGGATTCAGATACGGTACTCAGAAATAGCGATACGACCCATCCCTAGCAGATACAAAATGAAAACCAGTTGAAACGTCATAAGCCTGTTAATGCTAATAATAGAAAGATATTTCCAAATAAAATGTCACCATATTTGTAAATCAGATTTACAAACATTTAAATATGTGTATATTTCAAATTAACATTCATATTCCGGAATCAAACACAAAGAGATGGGTTTTGATCTATAAATTATTATTTTTTTCACTGTACTTTTTGTTGTTACTAAAGTAATATTAATGTACAAAATAATTACTTTATTCAACCTATTTTTTTAAACTCTCATCTTATTAAATAATGGAGAAAAGCTAAGTTAATTAGTTTGAGCAAGCGTCTACTTAATGATGTTTAATAATATAGATGACGCATGTCCATACTGCGCGGCGTTTAAAAAATTTTCCCCCTTACATATAACACATTTAAGTGATTGTGATGGGTGATATAGAACTTATAATACGGAAAGAGATAGTAGTCTATACAGTTGCAGTTTCGGTGCGCTAGTGTCATATCTACTTCACATCTGAATATAACAGCGTCTCCATATACACGGTAATTACCAACCGTACACCGTATTACCATTATACATCACGTAATTAAAAATATTTCATCATCTACTGTGTAAAACGAATCTCAGTCAGTCAACTTAATGTTTCTTAATGGCAGCACTACTCCGGGTTGCTGAAAATTCCAAGGGAATCACCAATACCTAAAAGTTTATCTCCACGCAATCTATTCTCGTCCTAATTTAAATAGTGGAAGGAGTGAAACATGTAAGTGTAATGGATGAATGACGTAAAATTTACTACGTTGTCCATGTTTATTCCAGCTACGACGCGTTAAAAATTGGTAATAAACATTTAAATCTAAGAACTGTTTCGATTTCAAGCTTTTATCTAGAAATAATCGTAATTTAAAAGTAGTTTAATTTTTTTATTGAGTGGGTTCAATTCAGGTTGGGGAGCGAGTTCAATGCTTCATATTTAATCATTTCAACTGTAACTATCACGGTTCATGAACTACAGCCTGGTGACTGATGGGACGGGTAGGGAATCATAAAAGAGAAAAATGAAAATACAGCTTCCAAGATAGTTCCACAACTTTAAAACTTAACTAGTTTTACAAGAACCTCAGAAATGTATTTCAAAGTAAGCCAAAATTATTTGAACCGTGATAACCCGGTTTCTGAAACAATGATCATCGTAGAAATTAACTAATTTGATTAATTCAGAGGTTTAACCATCCTTTTGGCAACTCAAATGACATTTGAAAAGCAACTTCTACGATGATCAGCGTTTCAGAAACCGGGTGGTAGAATAGTTATTCCGACAGAACAATCTGAACAATCAGTCAGAACAAAGCAATTTCTAATGAACAAGAACAGGGACGGAGAAATTTTTTTCGTTAATGTTCCAATAATAATGTGGAAAATAAAGTCGTACCATTGAACTGAAACATAAGAAATAAACTGTAGTCTGTGGTAAAAATGACAGTTGTCATGTTAGTTTCGCTTCTCGCCGTAAGGGGCGCTTTTGTTCTAAAGTCGTCTATGTCTATGACAATCACAAGCTTTATACCGACGCGTCATCTACGTCGGATTTTATTAGTTTTGTAATTTTATGTGATTAAGAAAATTGTGATAAGTGTAATTTTTATACACATCTTGGTGATAATATTAGTGTTAAGATTTGTTATGTTATTATTGCATAAGGGAGTACAAAACGAGGTAAGAAAGCGGCTAAGAGTGCGCGGTTGGAATTTGTTTGGGATTTGCGAGATCGATAACCCGGTCGGCTAGCCATGAGGCGCGACGCTGAGGTTATGTCGCGAGTCGCGAACCAGTAGTTGAGTTCAAGTAACGGTCCGCGGGCCGAGCGGCCGACTCGCATTACTGCAGAATCCGGTCGGACCTGGGACCAGTTAGTTTTTTATAGTATCTAGATCCTCATTTGCCGCCCTCAATCTGTTACGCTTACCACTGGTAGCATTTGTAAATAAATAATTGGTAATTAGTTATGCTTAATAAACAGCGAAAGCCTATAATCCCACACTACCTATAGAACGCTCGAAACCTTTGAATTTCCTTTGAGATATGCGCCTGTTTCCAGCTTACCCTGCCTGCAGTGCGTGCCAAGAGCCCCGAGTCCCAGCCATTAGATTGAGTGGAGTGTTCCCCGCCCACACGTAGCCCCGTACGCCGCCAAAATTCCGCGCGACACAACGGACTCCTCCTCCAGCATGGAACTGGAGAAAGCCCCCACGCCTCTCCACGAGGAAGACTCCAAAGTCACCCTCACTATCAGACTGATTATGCAGGGGAAGGTAAGAAAAGGGCACTTCCATTATTAAACTGAAACATTGTCACCTCTATAAACTTAAACTTGACTCGTAAAAGTGTATTATTTATTTTGTGAAAGTGTGCACTTTACCTTCTTCTAATTTCCTACTATTAGAATCCTATTAAAGTTACTAAAATTTGATTTAGATTAGTTTGTATGTTGAATAGTAGTGTGAAATTAAAATGTACTTTTTATTTCTTGCACAAAAATTTAGTACCAGTTAAGTCAAATCTTTCATTATACCAATTAATTTCATTGAATCTTGACTATTCTGAAGTTAGGTATTATGAGAAAAGAAAATGAAACGAGTAAAAATAAGATACCTTAATTTTTAAGTTATTGAAATGCCAACATAAGAATAGGGTTTAATTTTGTTAACAATTTCTTTTTTTGCATTATCAACATTTATGAAATGGAAAAAACACATTTGCAAATTTAATGCTTTAAAACTGTAAAATATTTAGAGAATACTGAAATAATATGACATGGCATTTCAATCTTGTTAAGAAACTGGCACTTGTATGGGTGCTTAACACAAGATCTTATTTACTTGTTACTCATGCTTGCTGAGTGACAAGGGTGTAAAGGCTATATGGAAAAGTTATTTCTTGTAGAACTTTAAAACATTTAGAACAATTTTAAGCCATAGGAAACAAATTTAGCACTCCTCCATAAGAGTAGTTTGAACTATAGTGAGACATATTGATGCTAACTTGTACTTATACACCACAAGTACCTACTTTTAATTGGCTGTAATCCAATACAAGGTATATTTGGCAACTGGCCAACTATCAACACTCGGCCTGTTCATCAAACATGTCGATTTGTATCTTTTTCTAATTGAAATAATATTTGTTGTTCTAGTTATTTAAACTTTTTTCTAATTTAATCTTAATTATTCTTATCTCAAGAAAAGTATTTGCATGCTTATTTTTAATTTCTGTTATCAGTTGCAAATAGAATAAGAAGAATTTTGAAAGTAAAATAAACACTGTTACTAATGTATTCAAGCATCATAAATGACATTATTTTTCCTTACTCATGCACTGATATTTTAGTGTTACCAAGATATTATTTTGCAGAGTACTAGATATATAGACATTGCTCACATACTGTGAGAGTCAACATACTGTGTTGCCAGGAACAAACTGACTCAATGCAGCCACTCTAAAACTGTCTATGCATCCCTGCTGCATCTATTATTGCAGCAAAGAATTGCTCGATGCTCAGTCTATTATTAGCTACCAGACGGGAAATCTTTTGTACAATAAATCTAAGTGCGACTACATTAATTATACTGGCACCGGTTGCACAATACTTGCCAATGGAGCTATCTTTACATAGCATTATTTTAACCCACAAATTACAAATGATTTAAGGAATATTTTACATATTTATTTTCTCTTTTAGGAAGTTGGCAGTATCATAGGGAAAAAGGGAGAAATTGTGAAACGATTTAGAGAAGAGGTACTCATTTGTTTTATTCATTTCTATACTTTTATGTTCTTTTTTTATAATAAAGTTCTGATAACAGGAATCCTTTAACATTTTTTCAGTCTGGAGCAAAAATAAACATTTCTGATGGATCATGCCCAGAGAGAATTGTTACTGTCACTGGAAACACAAGTGCTATTTTCAAAGCCTTTACACTTATTTGCAAAAAATTTGAGGAGGTTGGTAAAATTTCAAACTATTTTGAATCTAATTATATTTCTCTTTAATCCTAATAGAAATAACATTTAAATACAAAACATATTTAGAGTTTATTGAATTCAAAACCATGTATAATAATCAATTCAACAAGGTATCAAATGTGGGACTAGATTAAATTTGTGACTCAGGTTTTTTTTTTAATTTCACAAAATGTATCAAAGTTTTTGTTTAAATGGAACAAAATTTTTTGTTCTTTTTATGATATATCTATATAATATATACCTTATTACATTCTTTATAAATTTTAGTGAGAATGTCTGATAAAGTAATCATATTTTTTTAGTAAAAAAGAGTAAAGTAACAGCTTATACATATCCCACTGCTGGCCAAAGGTCTCCTCTTTTACAGAGGGTACGAAGGGTCCACCACTTGGCCCCACAGTGGATTGACGAACATATCACATGTCTTCAAAATATTTTGTTTTGTTATTCCGAAAATATGCAGGTTTCTTCACGATTTTTCCCTTCACTTTTAACAAATTGACAATTTCATTGGTGCTGGCACAGAGGATAAAACTCAGGTTGCTTGAGTATATTGAATTTAATAATATGTATTCCTCTCAAACTCAACCCAAACTCTCAAATAAATGAATTTAATCTAAATGAAGTAGTATATTTTATTAAAAAATTTTGTTTCTCAGTGGTGCTCTCAGTTCAATGAAGGCGGTGGCGGGGGTTCACGAGCACCCATCACACTTCGCCTCATTGTTCCTGCCTCACAATGTGGCTCACTCATTGGCAAAGGTGGTTCCAAAATTAAAGAAATTCGCGATGTCACTGGAGCTAATATACAGGTAGTTTTCATTTTTTAAGTAAAAATCCCATCACCATTTCTATAAGGATTACAAATACATAGGTCACATTATAGTGTAGATAACTACACTCAGTGTACATAACTTAACATAATTAATACTGGCTGTTAAACGAGGCTTCGCTCGCGCGGTCAAAAGGAATTAACAATTAATTTTTATTATACACCAGAAATGATTGCAGATGGCAGAATTTTTTCCTACTTACTTTACACTTTATATAATAATTTACATAATATCTTTATTAATTATTGTCTCTGTGTTATCCTGATGTATTAGCTATATAATTATAAAGTTTCATTAAAATCCATTCAGTAGTTTATGTGTGAAAGAGTAACAAACATCCATCCATACATACAAACTTTCGCCTTTATAATATTAGTAAGGATTATAATTTAAACTTTTGTGAGTCTAACACCAACAGTAACTTTTAATGTAATTTTGATCTGATATAAAACACTAAGACTGATTTGCCCATCTATGAAAAGATAGTATGACACAGTGGCGGACTAACCGGGGGGCGGAAGGGGCGGCCCGCCCCGGCCCTCACTGTGTGGAGGGCTCCAACAACAAACAAGTCCTTAAGAAAACGCTTTATACATATGTGAGAGACGATTTGATTTTGGGAAGACCCATACAAATGTGATGCCATACAGATAAAATACAAATAAGTAAATACAAACTTACCCCGTTATTTACAATTTATAAACAAGATTACTACGAGTGCTAATCTTTCTAATGGTCGAAATTGTAAATTTTATGTTTCAATTATGTATTATATTTAATTTTTTTTATCACTTTGGCCGAAGAATAAAATATCGTAGCATTATAGATAATAAACATAGGTAGTAATAAAATGTGTAGGTTTTCAATTAAAAAGATCAAGTTGAAATAAAAACAAACCTTATTGTAACCAATAAGTATGTAGCTGTTATAGCATATTATATGTGTTTTCGTGCCTTCATTTTACTGAACTCCTCAATAAATTCAGTGAAATCAATTTTGTTTAAACAAGCACTTATACATATTACAAACAAATGTGAAGCGAATAAAAAGTTTATAAAAGTAGATCGACTTCTAAAACTAGGGGCCCATTTAAACTTGCCACCCCCCCGGGCCTCTGCAGGGCTTAGTCCGCCACTGGTATGACAATCAGTGTATTAAATGACCAATGTAAGTACCCAGGACTAATTTGTCAATATTGATAATATTAGTGAATGAGGCTTAGAGTTGTGTAAGGGTTACAGAAAATATGGTAGTTCTTCTAGATATAGGTGTCAGAGTTTGTTTATATTTCCATTATATAAATTAGCAACTGATTTTTTTTTAAATGATTGATACAAGTACATTTAATGTATTACAGGTAGCAAGTGAAATGTTGCCTAATTCGACTGAGAGAGCTGTGACAATTAGTGGCACTTGTGATGCAATAACTCAATGCATTTATCACATCTGTTGTGTTATGTTGGAGGTAAGTTTTCTATTTATTTGACCCAAAATGCTTTTTACATTTCAACGTGCAAATTTGTGAGAACAACATGATATATGTGATATGCTCAAGTCTGTTTCATGTTATTTTCTATAAGAACATTTCTTCCAATCTTATTTATCAAAGAATAATTCTTTAAAACTCTCTGTTCAACAGTTTTTTTCCTCTTTCAACTGTAATTATGAAGGGTACTATAGTTAACAATAATATCTTGTGAACATTTCCAGAGTCCACCAAAAGGCGCTACAATTCCATACAGGCCCAAGCCGAATGTGGCGGGACCAGTCATCTTAGCAGGAGGACAAGCTTACACCATCCAAGGGAATTATGCGGTGCCAGCTCAAGATGTAAGTATAACAAAAAGAACCTATGTCTATCTATCTACATATTCTCATGAATTAAAATGTATTCATTTTTCAATATGCATAATTACAAATAATTTATGTACTAAAAACGCTTACACTAGACATTCTATGAATATTTCATACATGAAACACACCAGCAAAGCAGCAAATCAGCATTCAAATAGAATTGCGTTACCTAAACATTTCCTCGTTGCTTTAATTAAAGTCGTAATTCGCATTTCTAGGAACTGGTTATAAGCATCTACCATTACTATTTTTTGTAACCGTTTTCTTTGTTGCATACTGTATTATATAAAGAATTTGCAAGTAAAGTACTTATGAAAATCAGAAAGAATAATTCCACAATTTCATGGCTGAAATGGTTTTATAAGGATATGGTAAAAATATTTGTACCAAATAAATACCTATCTTTGAAATATCATCTTTACATATGTGTAATTAAAGAGATTGTCTATAAACTTTATGCTTAAGGTAGTTTAATTATTTATTTAATTTATTATTGTCAAGAAGTTTCTCTAGAAAAAAAAAAGCTTTAAAAACCTATCTGACAACTTGATTGACATGTGCCATAAGGTACAAATATATTTTTTTATTCAATTATAACAATGCCCTTAGGATGTACAGAAAAGATCAAGTTTCTAGTTACATAGCCAATCAAATATATTTATCCATTGCTTAGTAAATCTATTTAAAATATTATTTTTATTTCCAAGGCTTTTCGCGGCTATAAATTCACGTAATAAACTTTTATAAAAAACAGCGTCAGTGCATATTTATAACATGGCTTAAGGGCTTTGAGCTTATCTTAAAGAAATAGTGTCATTCAATAAGTAAAATAAACCCAGTTCTTTACTTTAAAGTTGTTTTATGGCATAATGTAAAGCTTAATACAAATTAATATCAATCAAACTCATTTCATTATCGATCTGAGAAAGGGGCGTAGGGGGTTCTGTTATGTTATCAGATCTTGCCCGCTATATATGCGATTTATATAGTTTATAATTATATGTAATTGGAAACATCAGGTTTTTGTTGGGTAAATTGATTTTTGATTGGGTGATCCCCTAAATTCGCGCCATTGTTTTATTAGGGTTTTCAAGGTTATTCCCTAATCGAGTTCTGTCGAATTTAGTGCTTTGTGGGTGGCCACAATCCCACAACGCACAGATTAATCAACTGCTTCGAACTGTAAGACAAAAATAAGTCATGTAACGTGCTAGATGTAACCAGCAACAACCGAAACAAATGACAACAAAACGCGACATACTATATGATATTATATATGAAAAAATATGTAATCTGCCCGTAATTTCTTGTTACCTACGTAAAAAAATTGAGAATGTGTCGTGTGCTGTAAGGCCATCTGGTGGGTGTTATTTGCGGTGTTGTCAGTGAAAAAGGGCTTGAAGTTATATGAGAGGTATTGTGTCGTGTATATACATTTGTCGGGGAGTAGTGTACTGCTGGTGTTTATATGAATATGGTATATATCCTGCAATCACCGCAGCGAAATAAGGTTTTAAAAATATGGCGAGCACTTGCCTAGTGTGCTATATTGCCATTTGCAGAGAGGGAGGGCGCTGTAATGCCATTCGTAGGGAGTAGTGTACTGGCGATGCATCGCGTGATTCGTAGTGAAGAAGGGTTTAAAAAAATATGGAGAGTGCGTCGTGTGCTACAGTGCAATTCGTAGGGAGTAGTATGCTGGCGATTTATCTTCTGTTTCGCATCGAGGAAGGGTTTAAAAAAAAGATGGAGAGTGCGTCGTGTGCTATAATGCCATTTGTGGGGCGTGGTGTGCAGGCGGTGTGCGCACCGATGTTCCCCCTGCTCGAGGTGAAACCGCCCCTCGTGGGCGCGCTGCCGCCCCACCACCTGCTACCACCGCCGCTCCACGAACACCACCTTGTGAGTCCCACAGCCCCGCCGGCCGCCTCATGGAGACCTTTACCCCAAAAACCTAAAATAAAATATTACCGAGTCCGCGCCAATAGAAACCTAATGGACTCCAGAGAGTTGTGGACTTGATGTTTGAAAGACCAGGCTCTAAAAAGAGGGATTTTTCTGGATGCTAATGCTGTAGTACTTTTTGTCCGTGAGTCCCGGAACTGTATAGCGGCATGTAAACCCATAATTCGAATAACTGGGAGCACCCTATGAACATTTGGTTTTGTTATTCGTTGAGCGATAAGATTACTTGATCTATTTCGAAAATAACTTTTATATGGGAGATTTTACAGCACCCATAAATCGGTGTATTAGATTTTAATAAAGCGCAGCTTTTGTAGTGTATTGTTATAATTACTTTGAGGTTATAAGATAATGTAGATGATACTTATTATATATTTGTCAATTGTGACGTTAAAAAAACAAATATAGTTTAATCGGTTTATTAAACTTCAGCTTTATAAACTTTATTGATATTTTCATCTGGTCGATTCTTACATTACGTTTGTAAGCCATCGGTATGTTTTTAACGTTTCTCGTGAAATTGAGAGACAGGTAGAATGAAGTACCAAACTCTTTTCCATTATTCGAATCAAATCATAATTATAGAATGTTGACATCATGAAACCAAATTCCCTTTAATTCCCCTCTAAATACTTTAGAAGAATTCATTATTTACCAGCTTACCCATATTTTCAATATAAATATCATTATAAAGTCCTATTCACATTTTTATTGACTTGTACTTTGTGAAATGTAAATAGTGTCACTTTAAAAATATAAATTTTATAGACTGAAAGCAAAATGGCGCTCGTGTGCAGTTTCGAAATTAGTTTATGATAAATAATTAAATAAGATTTTTCTACTCAATACAGTGCTCCAAATAAGTTGGGCTTAACGAATTAAAATTCCCGAAACGAACCTATAGTATTCCCCAATTTTTTTATCTTCGTTATCTCCATGAGGTTGCTTGGAACGGTGCGTGTTATTATGTGATTGGTGCTGCCCCGATTTCCTTGAAAGTGGTTTGGATATGTGTGGTGTCGAACCCCTGTGTAGCATTTGATATAAGAATTTAAACGTGTATGGTAATTAGAACCCCCAGACGTATGGAATGTAGTGGTTAGTTTCATTTACTTTGCTCTGTTTTGTACCCGTGCTTTTGGACCATTGTATATTGAACCCTATCATTTACGCACTAATACCCCCTACGGTACCCGTATTAGATACCCGTTGATATGTAGATAGCCGCCCTTTATTAATCTCAGCATATGACCGTGTACTATAGCCGAAACATGTAGCCATAAACACATCGAGCTTTATCTGTTTGTTTTCTGGCATCGCCGAGGTATTTGATGCTTTTACATTTTACAAATTCACTGTAAGGTACGAACCGAAAATTTCTACCAAGCATTCCCATACGTGCACCCATCCCCATTTTGCCTCTACCTCGCCTATTACGATAAACTTTGTATACTTACGACAAAATTAATCACTTAACAATGGTAAAGCATGTATTGACCGTGGAACTGATTATTTTTATATCTTCAAAAAGAAAAAAAAAATACATTCTGTTAAAGTCGCCGATTCGCAGCTATGCGAATCGGTTTTGGGCAGCATCATTCAAAACTCACAATGTGGTTGAAATTCGGTTTTTAGAGCGGTGCTGAGGAAATTCGCAAAGCCCCTCTCTCCCCGATGTTCCATTTCTACTATCGAAAGCGTGATTTATTTTTAGCACGCTTAATTCGGACATTCTCAATATTCTGGCCGCCGTGGATTGCTCTAGCGAAGTCCGAATTAATCATGCTAAGAATTACAATTGCGAATTTTCTTAGAGTGTCTATAATCTACTTTCTACCCAGGTTATCTACCCTATCCAGCGATCCCATCCCGGCAATGTCAGTGAAGACCGAAAACAAGCAGCTGGAGCTAATATTGTATTATATATCGGATTTCTTTTATAGCTGAAATTCCAACTCGCTCTCGGCCAAAATGATATACTACCAAAATAAATCCGATATACTTATAATTTGAACACGGCAAGTATTGTAATAACCGGTGAAACTGTTATTGTCTCTCAGTTGCTATTTTCATTCGCGCTACTATTTTATAATTATAAATCCATACTATAAATCTGTTCTTACAATACTTTGCGCGTTATTTTTTTTTAAAAGCCTGCAATTCATCATGGTGGTTTATTAATTTTTATGGATGTTTTTAATTAATGTCTGTGGATGTTTTTCTAGATTGGAGGGCTGGCTAAATCGCCATTAGCGGGACTCGCAGCCCTGGGGCTCGGAGGCCTGGCACCAACCAACACTGGGGGACTAAACCCAGCAGGTATAAAATATTATTATTATAACACCGTGTATTCATTTATTAATGACGAGTTTTCAGTAATATTTCTCAATTGTTCTTTTTTAGGTAATTATTTAAGTGTGACTTATTGTTATTGTTGTATATGAAACCTTTCATTGTCCATTCTGTAAAATTTCTTGCAGAATTCAAAACTAGGGCAATCGCATAAAAAAAGGCCATAGTAATATTCGCGTCAAAACAAGAAACCTGTGAATTACATTTTCGTAAAACACTGTGCTGTTGAGCAACATTACGATCGAAACCCAAATGTATTAGTTGTTTGACTTTAAAAACAATTTGTAACTTACCGATTCCTCAGCACTGGCCGCCCTGGCTGGGTCCCAGCTGCGCACTTCGAACCAGGGCCGCAACCAGCCAGCCACCAACCAGCAGTCGCACGAGATGACCGTGCCCAACGAACTCATAGGGTGCATCATCGGCAAGGTGAGCTGATAACTCGAGTTTTTAAATGATAACCATTTTTTTTTTATTTATTTATTTATTTATTTTTTAACATTGCCCTCACTTTAGGATAACATTATCCTGTGTTGTAAGGACATTTTACAAACATAAATTACACGAGGACAAACACCCAGATGCGAAACAACTATCTGTGGGTCGCACAAATATTTGTCCCGTGTGGGAATCGAACCCACGACCCTCGACGCCGAAGCCAATAACTTGGCAAATGCGCCACGGAGTCATCAAATATTTTATTGCGATATTCTCTTATTTTACAATAAATCATTATTGAAAACTATAGATGCCCATTTTGCTATTCAAATTTATACGATGTTAATTTTATAGTGCTATTCTCTGCACAAAGTTTAGATCGAGTCAAGAAGAAATATATAGGAAAAGCCATTGTATCGGATCGAAAATGTTTGGAAACGTCAATAGAATTTTTCAAAGCAAAGCCATAAGAGCTGTTACTACTTTCATTCTTTTATCTTAAACAAATAAATATGTTTTCGAATCTGTGGCCAGCAAACATCTTGAAATATGATATGGGGCACCGGGACCTAAATCCCAAACATGCAAAGGACAACTTGCCATCCATAAATACGTTAGATATTTTAACAATTAAAACAGAAACTCAACCGAAGACTGCGTACTCGTAACCGAAGATATCTTTACCACTGCACCTACCGCCTCTACCTACGGACTTCGGTGTTTGTCAATGTGAAATTTTAACATTAACAATGCTATCCCACAACACACCTCTACTGTGTCGTATCCTACGGTGCTATAAAAAATAGAAAATAATCGGTCCGATGCCGCTGCGTGTTCAAAGCTGATGCTCCCTCTGTCCAGGGCGGCACCAAAATCGCCGAGATCCGCCAAATATCCGGCGCGATGATCCGGATATCCAACTGCGAGGAGCGCGAAGGCGGCAGCACCGACCGCACCATCACCATAACCGGCAACCCAGACTCGGTGGCGCTCGCCCAGTATCTCATCAACATGAGGTAACCGCCCCTCAATTTGTCCAACACATCCCTACTTTCCATCCGAAAGACCACCCACAACATGACACCAATTCACACCCCTCTGCATCTACCCCCTAGGTTTGTTTTGCATCCCACAAACTTCCCTCTATGTATCTATACCTTCATGGGCCGCGTCGAAACACTGCAGTTTTAACACTAACATCGACAGAGCATTGAGTGGTATCAATGGACCGCCAATAACGTTTCTCTCGTCCAACGTCTAGTATTTTTCTAATGGTTAATGGAAAACTGTAACAGGGTTTTATTTTGCTTATGGAAAAACCTTGCTGTGTACTGTTTGCACTGATAGGCATTCGTTGGAATATTAAAAAATTGACAAAAAAAAATATTTTTAGAAAATTGCCTGCCAGTGCATTACAGTACAGCGATGCCGTTCGTTAATAAGCAAAATAAAATCTCTTTAGAAAACAGCGGGCCGGGTTTCAATTTTCGATCTACAGATTGATTTGGTTACTGTAGATAGAATTTCGACGTAAGTAATACGGAGCTAATGTCAAATACATATCGCTGGTAACAAAATCTATCTGTAAATAGAATATTGAAACGAAACCGGCCGTTAGTCAATAATACAATTAGTAGAGCGCCGGTATCCGAACGCGTTAGCTACGTCGTCACGGGGGGGACTCCCCGCCGCGGTGGGCAGAACCGTAAACGCGCGACCGTGACGGGAGAAGGGGGGGGATCGACGCGGCCCACCCACTGGTCCGGCCCTATACAACAGTCCAGTCCCGCTCCCGCAGTGTGGAGCTGCAGAAGGCGAATCTGGAGGGCACCGCGGCGGGGGGCTCGGCGAGCTCCTCGTCGACCAGCCCCCTCGCCTCCGCAATCCCCCTCGCACAGCTCCTCACCAAGAGCGGCGCCCTCGGTGCCCTTAATTCCCTCACGGCCCTCGGCGGCCTCACCGACCTCCTCAGCGGCGGCAACGCGCAGCCGGTGCAGACCACGGGCGTGCACCGCAACCACAAACCGTTCGGCCAGCGCCGCCAGGAGGACGAGACGCCCACCAAAACGCCCAAAGAGCGCAACAAATACAACCCTTACTAGGGACCGCGCAGCACCCCGACGCCCCCCCCCCGAACTGAACTCATCCAAAGAACGAACGGCCCGCGCCCCCAGCTCCCCAGCTGACCGGCGTCGGTCGGTTTCATTTACTCGGTACATTTAGTTTTTGTAAGACTTAACGTTTATGTTGAAATCATTTATTTGTGACTATCGTGAAAAAAAAAATCACCGTGTCTAAAATGCGTTCTAGGTGCTTTTATTTCTTTTTTTTTTTTTTCTGGAAATCGTACAATCGAAGTGAATGATCGTTTCGATTTTTTTCTTATTTTAACATTCAGACGGTTCTAAGACTGTATTGGCTGATAGCGCGTACAGATTGAAAAGTAATTGACTCCTTGACCAAACTACACGGCACAAACATCAATTGTGTACGAATCTCAACAATCATTAATCGAATTATAAATTGTAAAATCTAAAAGCATGTGGTAAAGTGACATAAAGTTTGATCTCAAAACTGCATACGTACCTAATGCTTTCCTTTGGTCAATATCTTTATCATTAAAGGCTACCTTTTCTAACATTCATTTATGATAACTTTCTTGACTTTATCCCTACTACATGAACTTTGATGACTCTCAAATTATTTCCTGCTTTCAAAAGTAAACTAGATTATACCTGATTTCCTACATTTCATCCTGTATGCCAACGTTTTATTCGTTTAATTAATATAGATCTTCCATGTTGAAATAAGTGAATGCATCGTTTTTGAATGGACATTATTTTTAAAAGGAACACAATGTAATATGTCACTTACTTTAGAAGAATTATACAATGAATTTTTGAAGTAATATGACTACAATCAGTACCTTTTAAAAACGATTTTGTGTCAGTTTGCATTGTTAGGTAGTTAAAATAATTCAGCGCAGTCGTGTAACATGCTAATTATTAAAGCAGTTTATAAACGGAAGAAATTTTATCTACACGTTTTCCTTATTTAGATTTTAATTTTATATTTATATTGTCGAAGGGTATTCTATCTTGTTCAAAGAACACTGAAAAAATGTGTTTAAATGATCGCATAATATAGATAGGATAATGGACAAAGTAAATATTCCACAATCGATTTAAACGTTGTTTAATCGAACATACAACACTTAAATATGATTCCACAGATGAGATAATCAAGGAATTAAAACCACTCCAGCCTATAATGAAAAATGTTAATGGGTTCTTTTTTCTGGAAAAAAATGCGGTGGAGTAAATTTTAATGACTAATTATATTCAATTAATGAAAGTTAATCATAGCGGCAAAATTTATTTTAACCACAACCATTTTCTTGTATAACATGAACTTAATATAAAATTGCATGTCGTTGATACACGAATCTTCCATTTGTTGCAACAAAGCACTTTAAACAATTTATAAATAGTAAGTATAAGAAATAGAACGTATTATGGTTTATTGAATTATATTTTTGGAGAGAATTGTGATTGTTTGTAAAATCATAATTTCTAAAGTAAAGAAGGACAAAAAACCTATCTAGGGATCGTGACAATAGTAGTAAATACATAGAAGCTTAAAGGTTAGTAATGGAAGGCAATTAGCTTCGCGATGAGTTAATATTAAGTCTATGAAAAATTTCAAACAGGGTGTTTAGCGCAGGCATCAAATTGTACTTCGTACTCCATATATTGGTGGTATTAGGAGCTATCTTCGCACAAATGGGTAAAGAGCAACAGAGGTGTGATGTAAAAATTTGATTGTGTGGTGTGATGTAGAAATTTTGTATAAACATCTTTGTTAACGATCGACATATGGAACCATTGGTTGATATGCAATTGATTATGTTTTAATTGATACATACAAGAAACGCTAGCACGTGTCTGTTAAGTTAAGCACTTAATGTCAAGTAATACTTGAAGAAAGAGTGAATGATTCGATACCACGTCTAAGCAAATTTTCTACCATTTCCAGGGAATGCGGTAACACATTTTGTGCAGTTCTTAAGCCATCGAATACACGTTATTTTGAATACAAAACCCGCTCGGAAATAAATATTGCACGGCGATCCTTGGAAAGAGGCAGTCTGCTTATTTCAGCTTCGTAGAGCATTATCTCAATCGCACGAAGCACTGTAAGCACTTGATTAATTATGAATGATGTTTGATCTCTTAAAATTCCTTTCTGTATGTCAGTCAGGGTTTTGAAGCTCCCCTTCTTTAGGTTTACGTTAGAAAATAAATTATCAAACTATGCGGGACGAGAGATATAAAACGAATTTAATAATTACGGTTAATCCGTATACTTAGAGCAGAGGCGAGCGGTAATGAGTACCGCATTGACTCAATGTGTGGAACATACGCCGGAAGTGAATTATCACATCATAGCGAACAGCACATTTCTTCCCTATTGACATTTATGGCCCGACGACTCAGTTGATAACGCGTCGACTATAAAAGTCGGTAGGCAGTGTGTGACAGAGATAACGCTATACGAAAACCGATATTGCTCATTTCTCTTTCCTAAGGTGCAATATAATCCGCCGAGTATTACACGGTGTTGCAATAAAAATAAATGCAGTACAATTTGATGCCGCTACCGAGTGTCTCGCTCTGTGTATTTTTGAAATGGGAGATGATATAAAAGCATTTGTAATGGTAGATTTATATTAGGATTAACGTTACTATTTATACTGAATTATTAATTTAGTGAAAGCGGCAGAGTGCTTTTAACATTGGTATTTCGATGAAATCGTTTTGTTAAGACATGTCTATTTCGTAGTTTGGGACGGTTAGTTGGACTTGTTTATAGCACCCGCGCACCGCACCCACACTTCTTCCGTTTGAAGTTCGACAATTTCTCTCGAAAGGTTTGATCGATTGTTAAGATAGATTTAGATCGGAATGTTTTATATTTATATCTTGGTAAGATAAGGTTAATAATTAATTAGTGATAGCTAAGCGATCTAGTTTCTTAGCGGTGAGGCGAAGTAACGCTGAAGGCGAACGCTCGTACCGAATCGTCGTAAGTCGCAAACCTGCATCGGGTGATTTACCAACGCAATGTTTTTTGTCAGTGTATAAAATAAACGTGGCGGTCGTAATCCGCGCGGGCAGTATTGCAAGGCTGTGGCGAATTCCGAGATATTTGCCTAAACAATGTCTCACTAATTAGTGCGAACTTGAAAATCGAGGTCCAATTCAAACGTTTTTAAAATAGATGTAGTTCCATTGGAAAAATACATTATTCGGCTGCCAATATAATATTATTTGTAATAAAATCATGTTAATTTTAAGATAATAGACATTTTCATATCTTTTCAGGAATCGTATTACTCGCTAGTATCATTAAGTGAAAGTATTGTTTTAAGTGAATACTTAATAAAAATAATAAAAGAACGAGTGTTTTTCATTTGTGTCATACGTCTGTCTGTCCGCTCTATAATGTTTTGTGTGTTAAGCACAGGTAAACATTTATTTAACGTATGCCTCCACAAGAACCCACGCCATTATCCTGTAGACCAAAATAATCCCGTGATACCTGACACGCCGAACTTGGTCCACCGAGTACCTACATCCTACAGCCAACCGGATCATCCAATATCCCGGTAAGATGTCTCCTTTAAATTTTAATTTGTTTCCTAGATTATCCGCACTACTGATCGACCCTAATGGTTCTGCGCAACCGCAAATATAATTTATCACGGCCCATTGAATCTAATCCCGGCCTCCGAATCCACGATCCGATCTGCCCAATGTCGATTCGCAAGACGATCTCGCCCTCCCGTGCGTCGCTCACGTGCGCTTGGACGTTTCAGAATCACGATGGAGACGGCCGGCCTGCCGCTGCCCGGCTACCACTACATCGCTCCGAACCACATTGTGAAGGCGCCGATCCATTGAATGATGCTCCGTGGCCAGGGTTCCGGCGCTGGTCACCGACTGCAACACCTCGGCCTTGCCCACGTGTACCAGCCGCAGCGAGCAATTCTGGCCCCGATACTCTTCAAGTGAACGACACATTGCTGTCGACGAGGGCATGCGATTGGCACATAACTTAACTTGTATGTTTACATTTGTTACGAGTTTATAAGTATTTTAGATATTCTTATATTTATTCTCCGCTATTTAATTAAATGGAGTGAGCGGAGACCACTGCCGGCTCGACGGTCGACGGTAGCTATGGAATGGAAAGTTTACGGGATTTAGGGTCGCGTGATAGTGGAAACGAAGCCGGATGAGATTTGAAACGACTGACGATTTCACATTTCTTGATCAGTCCATGTACAGTGAACGCCGCAAGTACTGAGCGCAACGGAACACGTGGATAAAATATACATCTACAGTACTTTTTTTTTTCGTTCGCTCATCGTTCACTGTTCAAGGATTCTCAACAGCGGGTGTTAGCTAAGCTGATCGAATTTACTATGGATTTAAGCCGTCGATTATTCCAATTGCCCGTCGGAATTATTTTTTATTGTACATGTAACGATCGGTATTAATCAGAGACGAATGGAACTTTCGAATGACAATTTCCAATCGGGCGTCGGCGCAAAGTAGGCGTAGACGTCACAATCGAGCTCGGCACCGCTGAAGTAGCGTAGCAATAGATTAGCGAACAGAGTGAGAGGGTTAAAGACAATATTTGTAAATAACTATGGTAATTGCCTGGAAAATTAGGTGTTACAGTAAGCGCTCTTATGCACTTACTACCAGTAGCGGAAGCAGGCGGCTCACCACGTCGACAATTCTCGCATCTAAAATCAGTGGTACCAACTCTATGAACACGTTTTTTTTTTTTGTTCCATATAATTGAGCCGCCAGTTTCTTTAGCTATCTGTCAAAGTTGAGTGCATGAGATGTCTACAGTTGCGTCTAAATGGCGCGGCTACACGAAACCGATGGGATCAAATCCTTTAAGAAACTTACATAAAAGGGAAGAAAGACGAATCAAACATTTCAATATATAATAACATCGTCTGCAATCATAAAAGACGTTAGTTTTTAAAAAAAAAAATATAGTTTTTTGCTAAATGTGATAGTCTTCTTATTTATTTTACATTCAAAGATCTCTTACATATATACACAATGTGTATGGACATCGGCTTCTAGAAATTTTAATTGAAATATATAATGTTGGTCTAGGGATCAAGCCAAAGATTGTTAACGTTTGTTTGGACATTAATGATGTTGTGGATTTATGCTAAATTATCTGAGAATAGTTGTATACGGTGTATGTAGATGGTTTTGTTTCAGTTTTTTAATCGCCCTCTCCAGAATGCTCATGTGTTTAGTGTTAGGCAAAACTATAGATAGCCCGGCAGTAAGCGGTCGTATTTCCAAAAAAAAAATAAGAAAAACAAATAAAAAAGGCTTAGGTTAAAGTAGATTAAGGTAAGCATAGGACCAGTGTATCAAAATGCTTTTCGATGAATACTATTATCGAAACACGAAACAATTAGTGCCAAGATAGGAGAACATTTTGTGCCAAAAATAAATATACATACGAGAGTTTTTACAGGCTCTGCGATCGTTTATTATTCGAATATCAAATATGCAATTACTGAGAGTAATTCTAATTTTATCCACTTTGATATTAATTTTGCACCCTAGTTGTAAGCGAACACAATTAGGCTAAATGTTCTTCAAACATATCCCAATATAAAACTCCCTGAAGTCTTCCCCTTCTGTATTTCAATATTAAATTATTGTAAAATTAATAATTAGTCGTGCCAAAGTTACATCTGACAACTGCCTACGATTTCTCTATCTTTATTATCGTCGTCTCTATGTACTAGTCAAAATCATCTAAAATTAAAAAAATAACAACAAAGCAATAATTTTTTATACATCTAGTCAAAATTACGTTTCAATCGGTAGATCTTTTTAAAGTTTTATTATTATTCTTACAACATTGAAAGAAAATTTATTTATTTCGTTCTCCCGACGAGTTATCTGTTTTTGTTATATTTGTGTGATCTTGCTTCAAGTACGGCAACTTAGCAATAAAAATAAAATGATAAAATCAATTATTTATAATAAAAATTTTGTGAATAAGACAATGTATAGAGCTTTGTACATTTAAATGTCACACAGGTAAAATATAGAGTCTTATCGATAGTGGTAACTCGAGGAGGGAGTTGTGCGTGTATAATACTAGAGAGAGGTTTCTAGCTGTGATTGATTATCTACGGAATGCACTTTAGTGCGGGATGCTACAGTTAGAGCTTAGTGTACGGCCGGTCAGGCGCAGGTAGTATTAGTACACGCTTTATTAATAGTTATACAAGGAGCGGGCCCTGTTGAGATCGTGTTACTTACTGTTTGTTAGTTCAAACGGAAAGCTCGTGTCAGTCGAAAATTTGACGGCTTGAAGCGAGTAATCAATTTTCTCCACACTTTCAAAAGTAAAGTGGACTATGTGTTTCGATGTTGTTAATGCGTATTTATATTTAGTACAATGCAATTTAAAATACAATTAGTGAATAGCGGTTAATTTTCACGCGTGTATTACTTTCGCGTATTATCGATTCGGTATGAATAACATCATGTTATAATATAATTATAATCGTGTTAGCGTAGCTATTAAACATTATTGTTACTGTTATTTTGATTTGCTCAATTATTTAAATGTTTACGTTAGCTAGTGATCATTGTCATTGATTTTCGTGTTTGAATAGGGCAGTAGCCGGAATCTCAGTGTAGCTGTGATCCGAATTTGCGATTGAAGACTTAGTTAGCTTTATGATGTTTGAACCGACGCGTACGTTTGTTTTTTTATTTGAAAATAGGGGGCTTTGTTGTGTACAGTGTGTTTTGGACTGTTCTCGCAATGTATAACCTTTTATAGTAGGCATTTACAGAAAGCACGTGTCGGTTCCACGATGGTATTAAGTTTTTAAAAACGTATAAGATGCAGTGTTGAATAATTTTGTTATATGAAGGTTTTTCTTTTTGTATTTGTATAATAATAAGTTATCGACCTTCATTCGGTTTTCCTTAGTGAAATTTTAATGTTTCGTTCCCCGTTATGAATTAATTTTAGCCTTTATTGACAGGGTCAAACTGCGCTGTACGATAGAGTAATTGAATTCAATTTTAGCAAATATTTACTAAATGTAATAGTGAATTTTTTAGAATTTTCGTGTTAGCACCTGAAATGTGAATTCTTATTGCACCTTTTTGTAAAAAAAATCCCTCTTTTGGATTACTTGGCTATAAATTAATTAAAATTTTACCACTAATCTTGTGTATTTGGAAGTTTTGGGATGTGGGACTCTAATATTTACACATAAGAAATTAGAAAAGTGCTAATTAACAATATTTTGCTATCTTCTCCACTTATCTAAATCCCCATACAGGTTTGAGACGATTGGGTAATAAGGGTTGTGTAATTTGTTATGCATATACAATATATAAAAAAAAATATTTGCTTCAAATCCCTTTAAATACAATTAAATTAGTGACTATATCAGACGTTCAACTACGCTGTAGATTACCAGGGTAACATAAACTTTGGACAGTGTCCTACTTGTCACATCATTTATATGATTCAATTTGATCCCGGAAGCTTATAAAGCCTAATATATTTTGAGCAACAACTTTAGGTAACGTTAATAAATGGTCAGCTTCATGTAAAATTTAGTTCCGTACTGTCGATAATAAACACGGTCTGCTGGGGTGGGTATACGATTGTTCAAAATGTTGGGCGCGTCGTTTCGTTGTCTGAATAATGTGGGCTGTGCCATTTGTTTGGGTGTTAAGTGTAAACAGTAATGATACTTATCGACTGAGTATATAGTTAAGAATAATGTCGAAAATGGCAATAATTATCCCATGTGTCATCGCTGCACTATCAAAACTGAAGCATTTAATTTTAACACTATTCGTAACGAGCGCGTAATACTATAATTTCATTGTTGCATCATAATTAACATATTTCAACTCATAATCTCAATCAGGGACTCAATGTTCGCAGTGAGGAAAAATATTTTATATTGTAGTAAAGTATTAAGATCGGGCAATGTTTGTATTAATATTTATATCTATGTATTTATAAACATTCATGTCCCTGTGATACGGAGTCCTGTCTTACAAATCCGGACAAAAGGAATGTCAAGAAATCTTGATAAAAATAAACGAAAAGGCATAATATCTATTGCATAATTGAGGCACAAACAATTCTTGTATGTAAGTTAATCTATTATTTTCTCCATCAAAGCATATTGAAATTATATTTTAATGGATTGAAGATGGGACCTGTATTGTAGTGTAGTTGTGTATGTTTTGTTAAACTTATTAAATACGATTGGTGGTATTTAGATAAAGATACATACGTACGTAGATGTTTTTACGTTTCAATTAATCACAATTTAGGTAATTAATTACTCGTCATATCTTTAAAATATCAATGTACTTGTCGACATATCTAAATGTTTTGTGAATTGAATTGATTAATGTTAATAATTATGAATGTTGTACTTACGGTAACAGTATACTGTCATTGAAGTTAGTTTCAAAATAATAAATGTTTGTTTTCATTATGTTAACTCAATAAAGTGTGTACATAATGTTTTGCTTTTTAATGAATACCCATCCCTCATACAAAAAGAGAAATCCATCAATTAGGGAAAAGAAAGTGAACATTACGAGGAATTTTATAATCTTACAAATATCTTTACTAATATTATAAAGGTGAAAGTTTGTATGTATCACGCAAATACTACTGAATGGATTTTAATGAAACTACAATAATATAGCTTATTCATCAGAATAAGACATAAGCTATAATTTATATACATATTTTATGTATATCTGTCTTTCTGTCTTAATGTTACACCTTCAGCCTACTCTACGCAGACGTAGCCGCGGGCAGCAGCTAGTACAATATAAAGGAGTTTACTGTAATGTGTCAATTTAACATGGTTTGTCACACTAGTCTTGGGCAAGCAGCATATCCCATTGCCTAATCGGGAGGAACAAGGACTCCATGCACTCATGGAGTCTAAAGAGGGTGATTCAAA